CCCTCACAGGTTATGATACCTGCTCCCAGGGATCACCCTCACACACGGACCAATGTGACTTTGTGGGGACCGCTGAGACTCAGTCTGTTACAATTGGCATCGGTTGCCACCGGCAAGTCATCACAAGAACCTGACCTTGGTAAGCACATTTTACACTTGAGTGCTATTCATCCGGGTGACACCAAGCGGGGGTTGGGGAGGCAGGAAGACAGACAGTGACAGTGCCAGAGCGTGCTGCCAGGCACTGCCCCCCATCCCACGGGCTGCAGAAGCTGCCTCACCCACACGGAGAGACTGAGCCTGCAAAGCCAAATTTCTGAGCTGCTGCTGAGACTCCCATAAAAAGCAATGCTATTTCTAACCTCCCTCACCATGGAAAAATACACATGCCACCAAGCAACCCAGAATCTCTGAAAGGTTTATTTTTATACTCTTCCCCACGCCCCCTACCCTTACCTCCCCCACAAAATTTTTAGGTGGAAAATTTGCTAGCTTTTTAGCAGTTTGACACTACTGTGCTAGGCATGGGCTGACGAAACTGCAAGCATGTTTGATTTTAAAGCAAAAATGAAAAGGTATTTTTCTGATACAACTCTGAATGAGTCTACTTTAAGAAAATGATATAGTCTAATAATAGAAGGACACAATCCAACAAATAGGCAAAGAAAATTCCCAAGTTCCCAGACCACAGACAGAAATAACGGTGCTAACAAGGTTCTCTTCGCTATCTCTAAAAGTGGTGCTCCTGCTTGCTCCACTTTCTCTTCACACTGTTGATCTTTCCTAGTTCAAATAGGGTGCAAAACATCCCTGATGCCTTTGTGGAGTTTGGATTTTTCTTTTGCTGCTCTTACCCTTAAAGAATGAAGGGAAAGCAGTGAGATGGACTTCAGATCTGAGTCCCCTGACACTGTGTATACGGGTAGGCAGAAGGGAGGAAGGAAGAAGAGGAAAGAGAGTTAAGGGGGGAAGCAGGAGGGTCTGCATGAGGATTCGAGAACCCAAAAATTCTTTCAGAAGCCAATGGGCAACCCAGAACTAGTCAACCTGGCATCTGTCCCAGGACTCCTCCTAATGGGAACTTTGGTGTCACTTCTCTAATGGCAAACTAGAAGGCCAGAGAGGCACCAACCCACCACTAACTGGCTTCTCATACATACAGGAAGTTTTAGTGTCACCTCTGAATGACCCTAACCTACCTGTAAAGCAGAGTTTTAATCTTGCTACAAGTTAGGGAACCTCCAGCACAATATGGTCATTTACACCATAGCTCCAAATGTTTTTGTTTGATCACATTTTCACAGTTTAATCTGGTTTATTATACATGCCAAGGAAATACCTGGAGAAAATAAGCCTTGCTTTATTTACCAGTATAGAAGGCAGGGACCTACACTCAAAGGTGTCCCTTCTCGCAGCACTACTGATCCTCTTTGAGTTTCCTTAAAAGTTTAAATTTCATGCAAAGCCAGGAAGTTCAGGTTTGGGATGTATGGCTAGCATCTAAAGTTGTTTTTTTTTTTAATATTTTATTCATTTATTTTCCAGAGAGAGAGAGAGAGCACAAGCAGGAGGTGCAGCAGAGGGAGAAGGAGAAGAAAGCTCCTTGCTGAGCAGGGAGCTGGAAGCAGGGCTCAGTCCTAGAACCCTGAGATCATGACCTGAGCCGAAGCAGAGGCTTAACCAACTGAGCCACCCAGGTGCCCATAAGGTTATTTTTTTTTTTTTTAATTTATTTGACAGAGAGATCACAAGTAGGCAGAGAGGCAGGCAGAGAGAGAGGGAAGCAGGCTCCCCCCTGAGCAGAGAGCCCCATGCGGGGCTCTATCCCAGGATGCTGAGATCATAACCTGAACCGAAGGCAGAGGCTTAAACCACTGAGCCACCCAGGCGCCCCCTTAAGGTTATTTTTTAATGCTGGAGCATCTCCCCACTGGGACCACAGGTCTTACACAGAAGACTTTCACAGTGCTTCCTGTTCCTCACCATCTACTTCTGATCCTTTAAGGACCTTAAAGGAAACCAAAAGAGAGGTGGGATTTTCCCCATCTGAACCTTTCTTATTTGTGCCGAGCCAACCAGATCTAAGTCTGAGGTTTTTCTCACAACAAGGACAGGAAATGGTGTGGAAAGCTTGAATTAATTATTTCTTGCCCTACATCCTAGAAGAATTATGTTCAGTCAAGTCACTAGCACCACATTCCACCACACCTGGTTCCAGCAAGAAGATGCCTCATGAAATTCCTCAGCACACCTCCTTCACCCTGAAAGAGGACAGAGAGATCCATGCCTCTGCTCCCTCTTTTCCTCTGATCCTGCCAGCACATGGTCCCTGGATAAGAACTAGCATTTGGATGGCAAATACTGACATTTTATGCAACTCCTACTGTGCATGAATGCTGAATTAGGCAACCTCACAATAAGTCCACAAGATAAATATTACCCCATTTAAAGATGAGAAAAGCTGAGATCCAGAGAGGCTCAGGACTTGTTAGAGTAGAACAGTGAAGGAAAGTGGCAAGGACAGAATTTGAGGCAAACCCGTGTTTCCAACTACACCTTACAAATGTGAGGCAGCCAAGAAGTGTGTCTTTAAATTTATCGAGGAGGTCACAATTGTAAATTTTAAAATACATTTAATAACAACCTAAACATGGTAACCCAACCCTGTTTTAGAACCAAGTCCAAAAAAATCCACTGTACAGTAAGACAGGCACATGCTGCAATTCGTGCAAAAATCCAGACCTCCTTGGGCTTTCCCAGCCCAGCAGTTGGAGCAGAGTTGTAAGGCCACCTGTCCATCTTATCAGCCCTTAGGAATGTCTCACAGTCCAGCTGTGAGCTTCGAGAGACAGAAATTTTACAAGTAACAGCGCAAATATAAATTCCAGGACAGTCAGCTGTAAACCTATTTTAGAGGTGTGAAAGTTCTTGCAACACCTCAGAATCCAAGTATGGTGCCTGAAAATGGCCTGAGCGGCACAAAACAACATGCAGGTTTGCAGAAAGGGATCTGTTCTTTAGCCATTCTAACGTTCATAAGGAGCAACATAGCCTTGTATTTCATTTAAAATCCATATACAGTAACGTAGTCAAGAAAAAGATTTCCATTACCAATTTTGAAAGTTGCTGAAAATAACTGACAGAATGAGGTAACCCCATATATGGTGGGAAATCGGGTTCTTACAGAACTTGCAAGTATATTTCTACTTTTGTCACAATTCTGTAAATCGAGCTGCACGGTCCCGCGGTATTTCAGTTATCCAGTAAAATTCTATTTGAGGATGGCTTTAGTTTTTGGTGCGTAAGGTTAAAGGAGACTCTATCTGAGATGATGAAAGAGTACCCAAACTGTGCCCACACTCTCTTCAGCACTGGGAGAGATGGGTTGTTGCCCCCCACCTTAAGCCGGTGGTGGGCATGCCAAATTATGGAAGAAAAACAGCACGATTCATCAACACTCACCAAGTAATGGGCTCCTGGGTGGCTCAGTTGGTTAAGTGTCTGACTCAGGAAAGAAACACATATGGACTGCATTCTCTCACCAAGAGAGAGGAATTGCACCCAACATGGACTCAGAGTGTGTGCGGCTTGTTATATACCGCAGGCTTCGTAGCAACTACAATTTTAGGAAGGCTCCAAACTGTGAAAAGTCCATTTAAATTCAAGGGTCTGTGCGCCTCAGGGAGGAAGCACATTAAATCACTCCAATTGCCCCATCTACTTCCAACTGCAACCATAAATAAAAAGTCTGGATATGCTCTGAGAGAGCATCCAGAGTGGGACTCTGCATCAATTCATTTCATTTGACAAAAGTTTTACTGAACTCCTCCCTTACACCAGGCACCGCTTTAGGCCCTGGGGGGTGGGGGAGGGGGGTGGTGAACTGCAGGAGGGAAGGAGGGAAGATTCTTGCCCTTATAAAGTTTATAGTCTAGTAAAAACTTGGAATAAACAATGAGTCATACCTGGCACATTAAAATTTAGGAAAAAGTTGCACCTTATATTTTATAGAATTTCTTACTTTCCTGACAACTCTCATGTATTTCTTCATTTAATGTTCCCCATAGACTGGCGATTAGGCAGAACAAGAATCACTAAAATCAATTAAGAGTTGACCAAATAGAGGCATTGAGAGGTGAAGGGGTATGCCTAAAGTAAAAACCTGGCAGTGGGCAAGCTGAGGGAGGGCAGGCTTCTCCTGGTACCCTCCCAGCACCTTCGATGACTATCCCCCCAAGGGCTGATTCTGAATGGGTCTTTGGGTCTGAGGATGTCCAGAGATGACCAAAATACACAGGTGTCACCTAAGCTTCTCCTTCCAGATAACCCAGTGCCCAGCCACTTACACCCACTCTCCAAAACATCAACACACAGGCACACAAATGTAAAACCAAATGCAGTAAATTAGGAAGTCAACCCCCTCTTCACAATAACAAACCACACGTGCTACCAGTACAGAGAAAGAAAAACCTGTCCACCTGATGTTACAACAGCTAAGAAAGAGAAAGGAACTAGTATTTATTTAATGTATGCTATATGCCAGAGGCTGTTTTAAGTATGATGGTTCCTTTATTTCTCATGGCAATCCCATCATGATCCCCATCTTCTGAAGTAGGAAATCAAACAAAACACAGAATTTAGAATGACAAATAAAGAATCCCATTTCCCACTGATCTTAAATGTTTGTAAGTATCTGGGCATTAAATGCTCAGGCTCAGCAACAAACAAGCTGAATAGTAAGATTATTCTTTTTTTCCAGTAAATCTAGAAATATGTGTTTTATATACATTCACAGCTCAAGGTGAATTACAAACAAAACAGAAAAGTCCACATTTAAGCTGATATCATGCATTCCTCCTACGGGAAAAATTAAATTAGTAAGATAGTTTTTGTGCCTAGAAATTGCATGACTTTCTTGAAGGTACAGCATCTCATAACAGTTAGTGCTGTGACAACCTCTGCTTCACAGTCATTATCAAAGAGTCTCAAGTTCTACTCACCTTTTAAGCTGTATGAAAACTGATGTGAGTTCTTGAAAATGGTCCAATACGGAGACAATGGTGTGATGTTACAAATATAGAGCTTGAACTGCTAAAAGGAAAAATAAAGAATTTCAGCGAACCACTTCTTTGTTTCTTTTCATGCACCCTCCCTTTCCCCAAGTTCCACAAAAATAGTTGAGAACTATCACAATAAAAGCCACAATACCAAAGTGATTAAGAACGCAAAGATAAACATCAAATAATAAAGGAAGAGAAAATTATAGCTAAAAACAAAAACAAAAACAAAAACAATTGAGGTCAGGGATCTGACTGAGCTAGGGACAAAACCCCTTATGAGTTTTTGAGCAGCCACAAGGGGCACCCTGTTCTTATCTTCCAAACAAAAGAGACACAACTTACTCCTCTCAACATACAAACCTTTTCTTCAATGAGGGCCCAGGAACTAATAATGAACAATACCCTTATTGAACATGGGTTTTTTTTTTTTCAAATCTTAACAGTCTGAATTATCTTGTGAGCATAAGGATCCACACAATCCTTAACTGTAAAGAGAGGCAGGCCCAGAGGCACATTTTTCCTCCCATGAAATATGTTTAATGTTGTGGGAGCAACACGGACCCCTGCTTAGGGAAGACCCTTAGGGGAACATCCATGGTTCTGTCTACAAGGCTGTCTTGACACCTGCCCTTTACCCCGTTGGTAGAACATTCTCCAGTTTGGCACTCCAGACTTTGTCCAGGTCCACTTCCAGTTCACACAATCTGTCACAATCATCCTCATCTCACCTCAGTGAGTACGCTCTAGGTGCCTCACACCATTCCAGAGCATGTCAGGTGACTGCCCTGTGCCTTACAAAGCAGTTTTGGGTAAACTTGGTCAACTCTGCCTCAGATACCACAAGCACCTCTCAGCACCCAGGCTGCCAATGTGCAGGATTACACTCCTGTCCAAGGTTGAATAAGCCACCATCTGTCTAGCTTGTGTGCTGTAGCGTACTCTCCAGGAGACTTGTCCCTTAAAGTGTGTTCCTACCATATGTCACTCCTGAGTGATCAGCCAAAGCTAAGACATCCAGATAAAAAATGACCGTGTCTAGCCAGAGGATCCTGTGAGATTCCTGTGGAGGTCAACCCCAAACACATAAGACAAACACCTTGCTGTTTTTATGTAACTCCTCAGTACCAATACTATGCACCCACAGACATTACTTTCTCCTGTTTATGATCTACTGAGACGGGGGGAAATAATCCACTTCTGGTTTTCTTAACAGTAGTTTTTATTCCTCAACTGGGATTGTTCTCATCAGTCTTCCTAGGATTCAAATGTTCAGACTTATTGAGAAAAAAAGGCGGTGGAATAACCAGAAATGTACTGAGGTGGCCAAAATTACTCTGGAGGGCAGGCAGAGCCTGTGACTTGCTTCTAACCAACAGAATATGTCAGAAGTAATGAGAGGTCATTCCCTTAGTCAGGCAGTGCTGTCTATCCAAGACTCCATCTCAGCAGACTAGAGAGTGACAGACTCCCTTTTTACCTCTGAAGAAGTGAGCTGCTATATGGTGACAAGGACTGTGAGGAGGCCATGTGGCAAGAAACTACAGGGTCCGCCAGGTGCTGAGAGGCGCCGAGCTGACATCCAGCAAGGGAACAGGGACGTCAGTCCTATAGCTACAAGGAAACGAAAGCTACCAACAACCTAAATGATCTTAGAAGTGCATTCTTCCCACTCATGCCTCCAGATGAGAACATAGCTGAGACCACACTTTGCTGACTTCTGAGATCCTGAGTAAAGGATCAGTTAAGCAAGGCCCAGGCTTCTGACCCATAGAAACCGTGAAGTAATTTATGGGTATTGATTTAAGCTACTAAGTTTATGGCAATTTGTTATGCAGCAACAGAAATAAATTTAACTTAGTAATTAAGTATAGGGATATATAAAATACATACATATATGTTATATGCATACATAATTGGTACAATAGAACAGCCCTTCCCACCTGCCTCATCCATAATAAGTGAAAAGTCATTTCTCCTATTTGACTATAAACTCCTTCTGGGAAAGAACCACATCACCATCACCCTGACATCCCCTTAGACTCTGCAGGGTAAGTGGCACATGGGAGGCTCTTACATTTTTTTAAAGAAGCCAAATTAAAAGAGTTATGACTTGTCAGTCTCTAGTTTTCTGCAATAAGGCCAAAGCAACAGAATTTATGCAACTCTTCAAAACAGCACTCAGAACCTCTAAATTAATTCCAACTAGGTGGAAGACACTTAGCCTCATGCTCTACCCCCAAACAATAAATCCATAATTTCTCCAGTACTGGTTATTTCATTTTACCTCTAAACCTGAGTCAGTGCTTAGAAATGTTTCTCAGTAGTCACTACTTTTGCCAAATATCCTTGTCGCTCTTCTGGCATTTAGCCATCTAATAGCTAAAGGTTAAAAACAAAAAGATCCCTAAGAAATTTTCCAAAGGAAGAATTTGTTACTTGTTCTTAATTTCCCATTCATATCAATAATTCATTCCCAACCAAAATGGAAAAAACTGTATAGGTCAAATAACCCAGCTCTAATTCTGAAAAAAATGCTAATCCAACTTCCTGACAACCTATATTAAAAGTGCTTTAAGACTGATTTTTTTATTCGACGGTGTTGGCAAGGATGTGGAACGAAGGGAACCCTCCTACACTGTTGGTGGAATGCAAGCTGGTGCAGCTAGTCTGGAGAACAGTATGGAAGTTCCTCAAAAATTTGAAAATAGAGCTACCCTATGACCCAGCAATCGCACTACTGGTTATTTACCCCAAAGATACAAAGGTAGTGATCCGAAGGGGCACGTGCACCCCAATGTTTATAGCAGCAATGTCTACAAGAGCCAAACTATGGAAAGAGCCTAGATGTCCATCAACAGATGAATGGATAAAGAATATGTGGTGTGTATATATATATATATATATATACATAAAAAATAAAATGTGCAGCCATCCAAAAAAGAAATCTTACCATTTGCAATGACGTGAATGGAACTAAAGGGTATTATACTGAGCAAAATAAGTCAAACAGAGAAAGGCAATTATCATATGATCTCACTGATATGAGGAATTTGAGAAACAAGACAGAGGATCATAGGGGAAGGGAGGGAAAAATGAAACAAGATGAAACCAGAGAGGGAGACAAACCATAACAGACTCTTAACCTCAGGAAACAACCTGAGGGTTGCTGGAGCAGAGGAGTGTAGGAGGGATGGGGTGGCTGGGGGATGGACATAGGGAAGGGTTATGTGTTATGGTAAGTGCTGTGAATTGTGTAAGAGTGACGATTCACAGACCTGTACTCCTGAAACAAATAATATATTATATGTTAATATAAAAAATATTTTTTTATTTTTTAAACAGAAGATTTTTAATTCTCTTAAGCAAGATTTTACTTAAGCCCTGTTTAAAATAAAAGTTGAATATGTAAATATATTCGGTTTCTGCTATCCTTAAGAGATAAATTGTTTTTTATTACAAAAAAGATTGTGACTAAAGCTCTACTTTAGATTTTTAAAGGACTGGTTTAATAAAAGAGATATTTTAAAAACACTCAAATCAATTAAATTACTTAAGAGACTACAAAATAAAAATTTTATTCACTATAGAAAGCTATCAGACCCCCCTGAAGTCTATATGCAGGATTGTATTATATATTCCCACTCCCTCATAAATCACTCAGCAAACCTTAACCTTATCTCCAAGGTTCATCCCCGGGTGCTGAGCCTCTCAGGCAGCAGTGTTTTCACACTCAAGCCAAAAGAAAACCTAAAAACACCAGTTCCATGACATAGGAGGCAGAGAATTTCAATAAATTCACCTCTTCTTTTCAGCAAATTTTAACTCTCTTGGACCCAACTCCATGTATGAAAATAACCAATGACCCACACCACGGAACTTCACCCTGTGCAGAGAAAGAAACAGGTCAATTTATAGACCCCACCCAGGTCTCTCCACCCACCCTCATTTCTAGTAAGTACATGCCTTTTTCATAATCTCACAAAACGCAGCTCAACACAAAGTCCAGAGCTTCAAAGGAAGAAGACTGAGCAATAATATCATGCCCCCACCACGTAAATTAAGCCTTCAGTAGAATGGTTCACCCAAGAGAATGACCCTTAATGAGAATTATTAAGCCTAGAACCTCAGAGAAGATGCTAGCAGAGTTCTTTACACATAGACCATACCCTGCTGCTTGAAGCATTTGAGGAATCCATACATAGGTTTTCAAAGTGATAAAGTATGGCAGGGATGATGATCTCACTAGCTCCAAACCATCTTCTTTTTTTTACTTCTTCTTTTTTTTAATTTAAATTTTCTTTAGTTAATACGGAGTGCAATATTGGTTTCTGGAAAAGAATTCAGTGATTCATCACTTACATACAACACCCATTGCTCCTCACAAAAAGTGCCCTCTTTAATACCCTTCATCCATCTACCCCATCCCCCCACCTCCCTCCCTCCATCAACCCTCAGTTCATTCTCTATGGTTAAGTGTCCCTTATGGTTTATTTCCCTCTCTCCCTTCCCAGGCCCCATATGTTCACCTGTTTTGTTTCTTAGATCATATGACATTTGTCTTTCTCTGACTTATTTCACTTAGCATAATGCACTCTAGCTCCACCCACGTTGTTGCAAATGGCAAGTTTTCATTCCTTTTGATGGCTGAGTAATATTCCATTGTGTATGTGTGTGTGTGTGTGTGTGTGTGTGTATATATATACATATATATATATATATGTATATATATATATATATATATATATATATATGTCACATCTTTATCCATCCATCAGTTGATGGACATTTGGGCTCTCTCCATAGTTTAGCTATTACTGATAATGCTGCTATAAACATCAGTGTGCATGTACCCCCTTCAAATCTACATTTCTGTAAACTTTGGGTAAGTATCTAGTAGTGCAAATGCTGGGTCATAAGGTAGTTCTATTTTTAACTTTCTGAGGAACCTCCATACTATTCTCCAGAGTGGCTGCCCCAGCCCAAACCATCTTCTGAATGCCATGTTCCCAACACGTTTCCAGCAGTTTGCACAG